GGGCTGTAGCTCAGGGTTAGGGCACTGACTTAGTATGGGCAAAGTACTGAGCTGGATCTCGGGGCAGAGATCTCAGGTTGGGGGTGGGGAGGGACCCACAAAAGTAGGACTAAGGAGAAATAATCAGGCACATGGGGTCGTGATGCAGGCCAAGAGCTGGAGCTAGGAGAGGCGTGAAGAGTGAGGCGGGCTCCTGTGGCAAGTCATAGAAAGCCAGCTGCAGGGAGCATCTGCAGACTTTTAGCACGTGGTTGGGATGCTGGCATCTCTTCTGAATGCGTATCACACTTGAAAAGGTTGAGAAACGGCTATCAACAAAAATAAACAAGACAGTCCACACAACCGGAAGATAATCTCGTCTATAAGTACGAATAAGAAAACAGTTAACTTCTGCCCGTATTTGGTGCCCCGCTCTGATTCTTGTCTTCATGGGTGCTTCTGCTCATGAGCAAGAACAACCCGCCCAAGCCCCACCTCAACTCCAAATCAGATTTTCTTTTTAAAACGCCGCCACCCCCTCCCCAAGAGTCCTTTCCTCCAACGTCATTCCGCACTATCCGACCTTTCTTCTCACAGTTTTGAGCATGAGGGATCCTAGGGTACAACCTTGTAGGGATTAGAAATTCACGGGTGCGCCCTCACCTGAACCAGCCCCCAGCTTATGCACTAAGCAGGAACTTACCCGGCTGTTATTCCAAGTTCCCTCTCTCCCTGGCAGACTTTGGACTGGTTCCCAGATTGGGGCCCCTGTAGACTCCCCTTTCCATAGCCAAAAGGTCCCTTTGCAGGTTTCTCGGCCATGTGCCTGGGCTCCATGGGCATGTGTTCTCAGTCAGATGCCCCATGCAGTGACATCCCAGTTTGTCTCCCTCCTTCTTACCCACTGCTACAGCAAGCCACCCTTCCCACACACCCCAACACCGCGATCTGAGCTGCTCTCTCTACAAAGGGACCTAGATCTCCTTTCTCACTCCCAACTTTCTCCCCAGTGTTTCTTTCTACTTTGATCCCAATTCTTTCTGTCACCGGATCGCAAGCCCCAATGCGGCCAAGAGCTCACTGAGGCCAGTTTACATTTCAGCACCATTCAGTCCTTTGGATCTAGTCTTTATATACAAAAATGACAATAATTGGGGGTGGAGGTGTAGCATCGAGGCAGGCGCTTGCCTAGCACACACGAGGACTCAGGCTCCCTCTCCATCACCACCAATAGAAAGAAAGAGGGAAGAAAGGGGAGGGGAAACAATGATACTGACCTCTGTGACCTAGAAATAGTGAGTCCTGCATCCACACACTGTCAGAGAATGCGCCTGACTTTACCAGGAAAGAGGCTTGGGTCTATAGGACTGTTAACTTCCTACAAGCCTACAGGAAAAGCAAAACTTTCATCCCTAGCATGCATACACTCATATATGTACCCACCCAGCCCCTCAAAAATGAGAAATAGGGCTTGAGGGGTGACTCAGCATTTAAGAGCACCCCAAGTTCACTTCCTAGAGGACCCAAGGTTAGTTTCCAGCACCCAAATCAAGTGGCTATAGTCTGTACCTCCAGCTCAAGGACATCCAACGCCTCTGACCTTCCAGGGCTCCTACATATATGTGTACATATCAACATGAAGACACACACCTCTTCTTTTTTTTAAACATGATTACAAATAGCAATAATAAATCTTTATAGAAATATAAGAAAATTAAGTGCTGTGTTGAGTTGAGGGTGTGGCTCAGTAGCAGAGCGTTAATGTAGCAGGAATGATGCCTCGGGTTCTACCCCAGCTCTGCCAAAAAGGAAAAAAGGAGGAAGGGAGGGGGACAGCTAAGGCTGTGATGTAGCTTTAGCGTGAGTAAGGATGGCACCATGCTCTGCCTCTGTATGCACACATGCATATGCCCCACAAAGCACAAAGTTCAAAAGCAAGCTCAGTTGAGGAGTCCTTGTCTAGAATGAATGAGATCATGGGATCCATTCCCAGAGACATGAAAACAGACAGCAGCCAGTGGCTTGGGATTTTGGCTCGGGGGCAAAGGGCTCTGTGTGGTGTGTTGTTCATTGTTCTGGATGCTGTGACCGGACACCTGAAGGAAGTAACTTAAGGGAGGAAAAATGTCCTCCCACTCTCAGTTCAGAGAGAGCAGTCCATCCATCGAGGCAGGGCAATGAACTGCTTCCTGGTGATGGGAGCACGGAGAGCATGGCTCACACTGGGCATCTTAAACAGGATTGAGGACCGGAGAGAAGAGAAGTGGATGGCTGCCTTCAAATACCTTACTCAACGTCATCAAGCTAGGCCCCACCTAAAGGTTTCCCAGCCTCCCAAAGCAGAGTCACCTCCTTGGGAGCAAGTGTTCAAATATGGTCTGCGAGGGCCATTTCACATCCAGGAAGTGAGGCCCCGAGTTTACTTACCAACAACATACAGCCATGGTCACTTTCATGCCCACCCTGAAGCATGGAAAGGCCAGGAAACAAGGTTTCGAGCTGGACACACGGGAGTCAGCCTGGGCGGCCTAGTAAGACTGTGTTCAAACACAAACGATGACATGGGAGATCTGCCATGCTCTCTGGTGTGTCAAGTGTCTCTGGAGGCTCATGCATTCTGTTGAAGTGCAGCCCTCCTGTGAGGTGCCATTGTCCCCAGGACATGTAGTTTCCATTTTGTTGGCTTCTTCCAGCCACGATTAGAACATTAAATCAAGAAGCATGAAACATCAGAGACTTAAAGATATCTCCAGGACTGCAGGGATGAGAGGACTTGCCTAGCATGCCCAAGGCCCTCCCTGGATTCCATCCCCTTGCTGCATGGAATAAATAATAATAAAATAAAGAAACCTTTTGGTGTCTTCTGGATACACTCTTTTGCTTTAAACATAACATATAAGACCAAGGCCCACCATCAACTTTGATTTTACTGCAAATTAAATAAAAGCAAACCCTGCCTCACCCAGCCAAAAAAAAAATCCAAAGAGCAAATGAGTGTCCTTCGTCTCACACACCTTCTAGGGCACACGTCTCCAGGGTAGAAGTCGCTTTGTGTAACACGCTAGGAAAACAAAGGAGCTGAAGAAGATGGAGAACATTTCCTAGAATCCCGTGTTCCAACTTGGGCTTGGGGGCAGGGATGATCATGAAACGATCCAAGCCTTAAGGCGGAAATTCTGTTTATCATTTCTCTCTGCTCTACACACTTAAGTAAGCCAACACTAAAAGTTGGCTTTGCCCTTGACTTACCAACCCTTCAGAGCTGAGAAGCAAGACTCCATGGGGCCAGTTAGGCACATACAGAGGCACACCAGGCTTTCAACTGCTTCCAAAGCTACTTACAGTTGGCCAGGCAAATGAGCACCATTAGGCAACCAGAAACCAGAATTTCAGGTCAGTTCTGTCAAGAGGAGGAGGAGGAGGAGGAGCAAAAGGGGAGGAGTGGGGGAGGGAAGGGATGAGAAAGAAAAGAGGAAGAAGAAACCTTGAAACCTTAAAATTTTTAAAATTTAACTTAATTTTTTTTTTGGTTTTTTTTGTTTGTTTTTTGAGACAGGGTCTCACTGTCTCGCTGTTTGTTCTGGCTGTCCTGGAACTCATTATGAAGACCAAGCTGGCCTTGAACTCACAGAGACCGGCCTGTCTCTGCCTCCCAACTGTTGGGATTAAGGGCACCACCACCACCACCAGCAGCAGCCCTTAACTGATGTTTTTTCAAATTTGTTCATGAGTATGAGAAAAGTGTGTGTGTGTGTGTGTGTGTGTGTGTGTGTGTGTGTGTGTGTTGAGAGGGTGATCCTATGAGTGACCAAAGGATAAAGAATAGCTCATTTCCCAATGGCAAATTTTTGCAACCCAAACTTCAGATTTAAAAAAAATAAAAAATAAAAAGTGTTTTTTTTTTCTCCCTTTCTACGTAGAGAAACTCAGAAAGGGTCGAGCACTGACCCCCCTTGTAAAACTGATGCTCATGAATTCATGCTCCATCTCAGCAGCTCTACTTCCTGCCTCTCCATCACCCCTCCATCCTGAAGACAGACAGCAATGATTTGCCAGCCCCACAGAGAACTCCCTGCCGACCTCCCTCACTCATCTCGGTGACCACCGATCCCTGATTTCACAAAAACTGAAGAAAATCCATTCCGCACATTGTCTCAAGATGATACTTTTCCCCAAGAAGCCTCACTCTGCAGGTCGCTCTAAACTCAAGGGCTCTAATTTTTTCACCCTGCTTTCTGCCCAGCCAGTCACAGAGTGTATTCTCAGCACAGTCCCCTGAACCAGGTGAGGCCTCTGTCGGTTGTTTCCTTCTCCTCTGGGGCCAAGCTTCCCAGCTTCCCAAACAGAAGTACATCCCAGGTTTTCTCCTGTGCCTCTGACCTTTGTCCCTTTGAGTAAATGCTTGGTTCCTCTCTACACAGACCTGGATGCTGTCCAGCCTGTGTCTCCAGGCCTTCAAATATTCACCCAACAGATGTTTTGCAGAGAGGTCCACGTTTGCCTTTGGAGTTGGTTCTTGAGGTTCCTAAGAAAAGCTGGGGTGGGGAGGAGGGGGGGAACCCTTGTCCACAGTTCTCGCCCCACCCCCACCCCCACCAGGGCAGGAAAAGGAAGCCCCTTTGTATGCAGAAGCCTGATGACAACTGCTGGTCCTTGCCAGCACATTGTGCTTTCCCCTAACATAGGGAGCTGCTAGGAATCGCAGATAAAAAAAAAAAAAAAAAAAATGAGGAGCTGTCCCTTTCGAAGGCAGCAGGGTCGTTAAGGCCACACAAACACTACTATGGGTTATTTCGGGTCCAGCAGAGAAACTTTGGAGCAGTCTTTTCTCTCTGAGCCAGCCACACCAGAACCGCTTGACTTTTGACATCTTTTCCTTGTGATGCAAAACGGCTGACTCTTTCGGCAGTTGTAGGGAAAAGGGCCTGCTACCCAAAGGAAGGAAACCCCCCACCGCAGACCCTGCAGGAAGGAAGGCCAGCGCCTGGTGCCAGCCCAGCCTGGGAACTCACAGGCAGGAGGCCGTTAGAGGGCAGCAAGTGTCTGTCTTGGAGTTCAGGCAACAAGCGGCATTTTTTTTTCCCTCTCCCCTCTCTCCTTTCAATTACAGGGTGTCTCTAAGGGCAAAACACCAGGGCTCCAGCGTCAGCAGAAATACAAGTTGGAAAGACCCAAGGTGGTGGAAAGAGAGGCGGCCTCCAATCCCCAGAACAGCTCTTGGCAAAGTCGGGTGGTGGCTGTGAAGGTCTCACCCCTACTGTCCTGAGAACCCCTTGGGCCCAAGACCCAAGAGATGCCCCCTCCCTTTGCTTTACCCCTGGGAGAGTCAGCGCCGCTGAGCGAGAGTGAGCAGGGAGCTTGGGCATTTGGCCCTTTGTGTCACTTCGCTCCTCAGCCTCCTGGAACTGTAGGACAAAGGAGAGTCTGGGAGCTGCCAGCAGCCTGAGGGCACCACTGGGTTTGACAAGGAAGAATGAAACCTGATCCAGCGAACGGGACACTTCGTTGTGCTGGTCTGTGAGGTGACCCAGTTCTGAGACCAGCGGCTTGGCTCTGAGCACACTCTATCTATCACACTTCCCGCTCTCACTCCTAGGCCTCCGAGGTAAGAACGTGGCAGGTAAGAACGTGGCATCCTTCCACCCGACAAACAAGAGCTGCCACTTGGTGCCCCACGCTGCAGCAGCTGCATGTTCAAAGGCAGCTGCGAACAAGCAGCCGCGAATGGTCCCCTGCCTCTCCTCCTGCCCAGGCTCCTTTTTATGTTTTACCACGGGCTCTACCAGGGGGATGCTCTGGGCTCTAAGCAGAGCCTGGGTCGGGGATGGGCCTGGCCTGGGTGCAGGTTGCAGCAAGCGAGGGTCTGGTGCAATCTGGTTACTCATTTCTTCCCCCAAAGCCCCGGGGACAACCCTGATTCAAAGTCATCTGATTGGAAGACCTTCACATGACAGGCTCTGGTCCAAAAGGCCTGGGCAGATTCAAGTGTCAAGCTGAAGGTGACAGGTTACCACATCCTAGTGCTGAGCTCTCATCCGGCCAAGCAGAGGCTCAATCAGCGTGTTACGTTCACCTCCTTCCCAGCACCTGGTCTCGTTTACACCCTGTTGAGGAGAGATCCTTCCTCCCTGGCCTTGAACACAGCAGGCGACCTAACCTTCATCTAGTCCCCAGTTGAATCTGTCTCCACACCCGACGTTTCTTGGTCAAGTGATTGTTAAACACGAATCTCAGTAATTTCACTGGCAACCCTCACTCCTCTGTGAAGTCCCACTAGGTCCAAGTCTTCTGAGCCCTGATTCTGCCCCTGGGACTCTCCTCTGAGCCTCCAGTTTCAAGACTTAAGTCAACTTGAAAGAACCTCAGGGACCTCTAAACTGGGGGTATAGATAGACCCATCGTCACAGTAAAATACAATGGCTTGGAACTGAATGGAGGACTTTATTGTCACAGGGAGGCTTTCTAACTTCCTTTAGCATTGGACTCAGTATTCAGACTAAATTTCCCATGGACAACCATTAAAGACTCTATAAAACCAAAGGAATCCGGGTCTCCCTCTATGTTAAAGACTGAACCGTATCTTTGGCTGTTGACACCAGAAATGATGGGGGCCTCATAATTCCTCTCACTGCCTAACTCACTGCTGGTGTCGTTAAAAACCCAAACTGATGCTTGCATCTTTGGACAAAAAGTCCACTGAACGTTGCCGGGAGCCTTCCGTGTCTTCCCCCTGTACTGCTGCAAATCACAAACCACACTGAAAGAATCTTCCCAGCTACCACCTCTGCAGCCTCCACAGTCCGTATCAAACAACCATGCAAGGGTTTCTGCACCATTAGGTGCCTGATTCCCCACTCACTATGGAGGCTTCATCCTTGATCGCCATGTTTTGGGTTCATCCTTGCTTCCCTTGAACTGCCTTCCTCATTTCTAAGATGGTAGTGCTCATAGCAACAAGCTCAGCATGTTTCTGTAGGGATTGAGTAAGATAATGCACATAAAACACTGGGTGCCACGTCCGCAGCTAACAGTGAGTAATGACTATTGTGATCATCATTTCCTACCCATATTAACTATAGGAACTTAGGGGAGAGAACTCAGCAGATAAACTGCTAGCTGTGCAAGCATGAAGCCCTGAGTTCGGATCTCTGGCACCCACATAAAAGCCAGGGGTGGTGGCATGCACCTGTAATCTCAGTGCTGGGAACGGCGAGACAGTCAGATCTCTGGAGCTTTCACTAGCTGAACCAGTGAGCTTCAGGCTCAGTGAGAAAACGTCTCCAGGAATAAGGGCTGGAGAGATGGCTCCGCCATTAAAGGCGGTAGTAGTTGTTCTCTTGCAGAGGAGGGTGGGAGTTTAGCTTTCAGCACCCATGCCAGGAGGATCACGACTGTGTGGAATGCCAGTCCCAAGGACCCAGAGCTCCCTGCTGACCTCCTCCCACCCTGCACTCAGCATTTACCAAGTCAGATATACATATATATGCTTTAAAAAAAAACTTGAAGTGAAAGGAAGAGGTGAAGAGAAGAAGTTAGTGAGTTTAAGGCTATCCTGAGCTACTTAACGATGAGTTTAAGGCTATCCTGGACTACTTAATGAAATCACATCTCAAACAAATAAACACCTAAAGACAATCTGGATTAACAAAAATAGGGTTCAAAACATGCTATATACAAAAGAATAAAGATGACAGTGACTGAAGGAGTCATATGACCTTGACCTCTGGCCACTATATGTACCTGGGTACCTGCGTGCATACACGCACTCACACACACACACACACACACACACACACACACCACGAAGAATTACCAGCATTTTCTTCAACTACCTACCAATATTTGGATTTATTTTGAAAAACTATACCAATCCCTCAATTTTTTTTTTAACAAAAGGTACATGTTTTTCCAGGAAGCAGCCTGCTCCATCTTTAGATAACTTTGCCTGTTGCCAAATAGATCTTTTCTGTAAAAGGATGAAGTCAAACTTATTGGAGCTGACGGTCTGACTGCTACAATTCTTGAAAGGCTGGTACAACCTTTTGCTACCCAAACTAGCCATGCCCTGTTCTTCCCACCCGCTCTGGTTGCTTTTGACTGACTTCCATGGTTCTGCCTCTCTTTTTGTGTAGTGTATGACCCGTCCGTCTCACTCCAAACCTTGTCCTTCTTTAGCACTGTTCCATCTCAGATATGCTTGAGAAAGGGGCTGAGGTTCTAACTACAGAGGTCTCTTTTTTTACCCTCCTTTTAGCTACAGCAATTCAATTATTTTTTTTCTCACTGCTCAGCTGTACCTGCCATGTTCTGGACTGTGCAACTTGTTTTCCCATTAAGGGAAGAGTAAGCCTTTTTTTTTTTTTTTTTTTTTTTGCCTTCCAGGATGCTTTTGGAGTCTGCTTCTGGCACCCCACATGTGTGACTGTCTTTCATTATTGAGCAACCAACAAACTTGGGAAAGTGTGATCTTTATGACTTTGTGTTGGGGACATATGATACAAGTATTAGACAAAACAGAGCCAGGAAGCCCTACACCCCTTTCTGGAAGTAACTTCCCCCAGGCTGCTTCTACCCACCGCCCACTGACTCTGAAGTCTTCTCTAGCTCATCTTGGTCCTAGCAAGGAATGTCTAGGAAGATGGGGAAGCCCTCACATGAAAGGAGACAGAGATGTCTGTACTGGGTGGGAGTGGGGTAATAGGTTGAAAGTACAACAAAAAGAAAGAGAGAGAAACAGAGACAGCAGTAAGTGGGAGAATCGAGATATAGTTGGTAAGTCCAAAAGTGGGAGGAGACTGGAGAGATGGTCAGCAATTTAAGAGCGCCGCCGACTCTCCCAGAAAACCCAGGTTCAACTCCCAGCACCCACATGAAGGCTCACAATCATTTGCAAGCCCAGTCCAGGAGGACCTAAGGGCACCAGGTACATGAACGGTGCCCAGATAGGAGACAAACACCCATCCATGTCAAAATGAGCATCTTTTGAAAGAGAAGAAGAAGAAAGTGTAGGGGCAAGCAGGTATGGATTTGCAGAAGAATTTTACAAAAATGCATCCAGCTGAGATAGATGATGAGAAAGAAAAAAACCGTGGCTGGGTATCTGAACAGCCATGGTACCCCTACGGCTGAGAGGGTTCTAGGTTTTGGGTATGTCCACTGAGGCAGCTGAGAATGACCTCATGCAGACCGGGCAGAGCTTCCCAACCAAGACACATTTTGGTTCTCAACACTTTCATCCACAGAAGGATGTTTTCACTTCCTGAAAAGCTCCAGGCACAGGAAAGACACACACCAGGCTTCACCCAGCACACCTGCCTTTCAGGGGCAAGATGGATCTAAAATAAGCCTTGATGGTAAGCCAGGATCCTACCGCACTTTGAGGCTCCAGCTTCGCTGCTTGAAACCCAGCAGAAGCCCAGCATAGTCTCACCCGAGGCTCTTAACGTGTGGGAAAGGCAGCCTTGTATACACCCACGTGCATGTGTGAATGCATGTGCAGTGTGACTGTGCATGGAGGCCAGAGGTTGGTATCAAGTCCCCTCCTTAACTGTTCTGCACATTATTTTGAAGACGGTGTCGCTCACTAAGCCCAGGGCACACCCATTGGCTTAGACTGCCTCGCTAGTGAGCTCTGGTGTTGTCAGCCCGCCATTAGTGCTAGGTTTGGGGCTCAGTGCATGACCTTTCCATCGGCACTGCTCCTCGTGTGTATATAGCAAGCCCTCTACTGATTGGACTATCTTCCCAGCCCCATACATTCAAATTTTCTTGTTTGTAATATAAGACTATTCTACTTAAAATCCCTGCATTCTATTGTGGAGTCCCATTATGAGGAAAGATCAACCTTGTCCCCAATACCAGTAAATAAATCTTCATTAATCTAACACAATTCTGTTCATTTTATCTAGTTAATCATCTAGTAGTTAACGTAGGAAGGAATGGAGTCACCTACTTTGGGATATGTGGTCGTGAGGGAAAGCTGACCGAGGATGGGACGTGTTTTCAGGAAATAGTCCACAGCATTGCAGTTAGAGCAACAGCTAGACCTCCCCTGCACTCAGTGTGCCTAGGAAAAAGAGGCAGGTTCTTGAGTTCAAGGCCTGCTTGGACTACAGAGTGTGTTCAAGGCCAGCATGGGCAATTTAGTAAGATTTTCCCTTCAAAGTAAAAGGCAAAAGGGGATGGGGATCCCGTGGCTCTTACGTTGTCTCCCTGTCACACCTGTATTGTCTCCAGTCACCTGTATTGTCTCCCGTCACCTGTATTGTCTCCAGTCACCTGTATTGTCTCCAGTCACCTGTATTGTCTCCCGTCACCTGTATTGTCTCCCCATCACCTGTATTGTCTCCAGTCACCTATATTGTCTCCCAGTCACCTGTATTGTCTCCAGTCACCTGTATTGTCTCCAATCACCTGTATTGTCTCCAGTCACCTGTATTGTCTCCAGTCACCTGTATTGTCTCAAGTCACCTGTATTGTCTCCCCATTACCTGTATTGTCTCCAGTCACCTGTATTGTCTCCAGTCACCTGTATTGTCTCCCCATCACCTGTATTGTCTCCAGTCACCTGTATTGTCTCCGGTCACCTGTATTGTCTCCGGTCAC